GGAACAAGCACCGAATGGAATACGACTGGAGAGGCATTTCAGTGGATTCAAAAGGAAGGCATGAAAGATAAAGATAAAATATTTTATTTAATGTTCATAAATTAAATATGAAGACACTCAAAAAAATATTGGAAATTATATGGAATATATTCAATTATTTTGTATTTATAATTTCAGTCTAATGGAACTCAAACAATAATCTTAGAACCATTCCTGAGGCTGTCAAAGGAACTGCTGCCTGGATAACTTTTCCTAAACAAAATTCCACTGACTTGTATAAATTCTATTGTGTATTGTGTAACCATATTTTGTAGATATCATGGAGATCTTTAAAATATGAAATTTAAAGTTTTTAATGGGATCAAAAATATACCACGAGGCAAAAATCATAAAAATCAACAACGATATATGAATATAGCTTCAATAGTTCTACTAAATTCCTAGCTATCAGAGGATATGCCCACATGTGATCTACTGTTATATATTTTAGTCTTTAGCTTCGAGACTTTGAGCCAGCTTGCGGCATTCTGCCACAGCTTCAACAATCTTCAACAGTTCTCATAACTATTACATAAATATATATTCCTGTTCTTCGTTCTCTTTTATTTGTATATATTCACAGCATTTGCCCAAAGACCTCAAGCCACTGTGCGCTGGCGCTGAACTTGGCTGTTGAAAAATGTTCAAAATTGTTAAGAAAAAAAAAAAAATAGCGTCCCAACTCGAATGAAAATAAAAGTAAAAGTGGTTGTTGTTACAAATCGGGATCGGGTGTACAATATATATATATATATATGTGTATATGCTCTGGCATAGAGCTGAAGAGAGTTCAGCTTTTGTTTGTATGGATTTTCCATTGTTTTTCAGCTGCGTGCCGTTTGGCTTTTCTTTGGTCTTTATTTTCTTTTTTCTTTTTCTTTTTATTTTTTGTTGTTTTTTGTTTTTTTTGGCAGGGGTCAGCAATAAAAAGTCGAGCACCTCTGTCTGGTGGGGCTTAAACAGTGGTGCCCGCCCCGCGCACCTGTGGCTCCATGCGGTAATTAAGATTGTTCGCTGCCCTAAGTGACGCCAATTAAGTTACGTTGGTCAGTCGTACTCGTGGCTGGGCCTTGTTTGACTTTTAACCGCCTTCCATCTGCTGCTGCTGCTGCTGCTGCTGCGTTATTTATTTAGTATTTTAGAGGCATTTTCTCACTTCGCCTCGCCTGCGTTTCCGTTTTCTCGTTATGCAAGTTCTCGGATTGTCTGTGGGGGTGCGGTGGGGGGTGCGTAAATCTAGCCTGATCTGTGTCTGTGGGAAAACTAACGAAAAACTCTTCTGTCCGACTGTTTTTCCACGGGGTACAGAGAGACATCATCTCGCTGTGGTCTCACTAGCCGCAATTATGAATGTCGGACGGCTCAAAGTTAGAGGCTGTGACTGGAATTGGAACTGAGACTGAGACTGAGACTGGTACTGGCACTGGCACTGGGACGACTCTTTTGTGGGTTGTGTTAAAATTGAAGTGAAATTGCAAACTGATTATATTTAAAAACTATTTTTTTTGTTTGTTTCCCTCCCCCCCTGTTGCTGTGTGTGTTTCAGCCTCATAAAGCAGGTCATTACGAGCCACAGAGACAGAGAGACAGAGACTGAGAGAGATACAATATTTTAATTATAATTAAGTGTGTGGCAGTAAAGCGATTGTAGAGACAGATACACAGTGGCATGGCCTGCCCAGGCATAGGTTAGGCAGTATATATATATATGTATATATGGTCTTTCTTTTGGCCATTAATTTTCAGATATTTACACCGGCCATTGCCTTAATTGGGCCCCACTGCAACACTCTCTGCATCTGCGTAATACCCTAATCACACACTGCCCGTACCTACTTACATCTCGTATATATGCACATATTTCACAAATCAAATCTCATAACTGCTCCCATTATGGCACACCACTCAACCACTCAGCTCTGGGATGGCGACAAAACGTTTTGCAGGAAATGTATGTTAATTCTCTGATCGAAAAATTAAAAACTAAAATTTGCATAATAAAGTTTCAATTTCTTTTTGTCTGTAGTCGAACGGAAGCGCTGTTTGTACTTTCCCCGAGATCTAAACGGAAGCAAATGAGTTGCCAGAAAAACAACACACGCAGCATCGCAAAAGAAGTCCCACTGTTACGAGGAGAAAGCCGTTGAATATCGGCCACAAAATATTAATCAAATCCTTTTGCATTCAAGAGTTAGAAATCACGTGGAGGGAAAGGTTTTAATGGAAATGTTGCCCTAGATGCCAGATATTTAATTGCATGTTGCATTTATATACGTAAGAACGGAAATAGATCATTCTCATTTTTTTGCTTTTTGCTTTCATTTTTACTTGAGAGTTTTCAGTATTCCTTAGTCACTTTAGTCACCAAATTAGCATCCCAAAAGGTGAGAGAATATAGCCACAAACAACTGCTAAACCCAGCAGAATATAACCAAACTTCTGCGATAGGCGTGCCAACAGTAATCTATCGCTGCTATCGATTGTACATAATCATCACTAATCAGCTGAGGCCTAAGCCTCCATCAAACTCTAGCTATAAAGAGGGAATTAGTAGTGTCACATAACGATAAATGATGCTATAAAGACTTAACTGTTCCTCAGTATAACACTTTCAAATGCCTTTTCCCGATTGCGTATTATGGGGCTTGGCGCCTGGGCCTTGGGGGCTGCTTCCTTCAACGGCATTTTCTTCTTGCCATTGAGTTTTTAGCAATTATATGAATAATCGCATCAACGCATCAGTGTTGCATTCTCCACCTATCTTTCACTCTCACTCTCACTCTGCCACACTCTCCTTCACTCTCACTCTCACTCTCAGTCTCAGTCTTTTGCTGTTTCTTTCTTCTTTAAGCGTTGACAGTCAGTTAAATTAAAGTTCCACCATCAAAGGCGATTATATAATTGTGTGCGTGCCTCTCTCTATCACTAATACTTTATCCAATCCATCTCTATCGCCTGTGCCTGTGCCTGTACCTCTGCCTGTGCCGCTGTCGCTGCCTCTGCTCCTGTGCTTGTGTGCATCTGCCGGGAAGCGCATTAAACAGTCAATGACACCTTAACCCCATAAACAGACCCCCAGCCCCCCAGCCACCCAGCACCCAGCCACCCAGCAGCAGCAACATGTGCTCCAGTGGTCACCAGATAGATCCATGCTTGGCTGCCTATTGGTTTTTACGAGTATGATGCATGCCCCCCCCTCCCCCCACCCAACGGAATACTCGTAAAAAAACACCAACCTATAGTCGTATATCCGAAATAAAGAAATAACCGTAAAAACAAAAACAAAAGCTGACGAGTGCCGCCACATAAAATGCAATCCAACAATTACACAATTGGAAATGCCATTGTAAAATATACAATATACATGCATACATATGTATGTACATCTGTACATATAGGATAATATATTATTTGGCTTTGGGTTTTCGGTGGGTGGCTTAAAGACAATACCTCACCTCATACCAGAAAATATCTGCACTGAATTTTTGTGGGGTTTTCGGGGGTCGGTTGTGTTGTGTTGTGTGCTACAATTACGTGGCATATTCGTTATGCATCTCGCGTGGTCATAAAATGATATTCCATTCATTGAGTTGAGTTTTTACTTTTGTGGATTTAAATTACAATACAGCACCATTATCCATACAATTGAAATGCACTCAACGCACCTGTTACGCCTGCCACCCCATATGCCTCAACCCAAGCGAACCCAACCCAACGAATTTATAATAAATTTTGGGGCATAATCCGCGTACTCGCACTCGTACTTTCTGGCTCTTATGTAAGCCACTTTGGCATCGATCTTCCACTCGTGATTGGCATGCCAATTGCCAGCGTCCAGAGTTAGATCGTTCCGATATCTGCGATTGATAAGCGTCATAATGAGCGTCTCGCACCTACAGGCAGGCGGCACAGTAAAGGCCATGGGAAAGGGCACCCAACGAATGATTCAATGAATCAATATTTTACTAGGGCACTCACTGGCTAGCTGGCTGGCTGGCTGGCTGTGGGATCTCTGCGGCAATTGAGTGATCAAAGCGAAACAGATTCGAGCAGATTGAACAGATATTGATGAATTAGACAATTGGCTACGATAACCGATCCATTTGCAGCTCACAGCCACAGACCCCCAGGGGGGTATCCATTCCGCAGACAATGAACAATAATTAGCAAATTTATTGGGTAAACTTTTCTTCTCATTTCTCAAGATATTTTAGCAGAGTCTTATTGTTTGTTTAACCCCCAAGACAGCTCTGTGATTGCTTTGAAAAGATTCTTAAAGGCAAATTTGCTCTGGAATAAAATGTCACAGAAAGCTTCATTTATTTCTAGATATAAATAAATAGATAATGCAGTGAGAATTTATGTGCCAGAGATCCCTGACATTTATGCTTCGAGATTTAGGGATCTTTGTATTTAATTTCTACATATATGTACATGCATACATATTTTTGTTTGTATTTCCCTTCATTAATCATATGCTTATAGACCGATTTTAAAGGTTCCCCTACTCCCTACTCATTGATGTTTCATTGAACAGAACCTGAGCCCTTCTAATGGACATCTGGTACATAGTATATATCTAAGATCCGATCCTTTTCCTTTGAGTAGAGCAATTCCTGCATGTATTTTGTTTTTGTTTCTTATATTCTAAGTGATCTACACGTTTCGGGCCTTTTTCCTTTCCATTGCTTTCTGTTTTGGGTCATGTTTTGCCGCATCGAAAGTGATCGTAAACCTAATGGATACTCGTACTTGTACTCGTACTTTAAACAACAATATTAGGCCTCGAAATGAGTCGTAAAAATTCTACAAAGTCACCGCTGCTCGGCTGCTCGTTTCGGTTTCTGTTTTCGGTTTCTGTTTCTGAACCCTGACCTACGTCTGGTCTGTCTTTGGCACTCGTAAAACCCTCCGTTTGTCTTTGTGTGGTTTCGTGTGAACAAATTCTTGGAAGAACTTACCATTTCTTCTTCAGTGACTGCGCTGCACTAGAAATGCATACAGTTTTTCCCAAGAAAAACAGCCGCGCCTCCTCGTGTAGCCTGCTTGCCACTCTGCTGCCGAATCCGAGCCCGAACCCGAAATCGAAATCGAACCCTTCAAGAAGGATCGCTGATGCTGTGGCGATCGCTACCTGAAATTCCTGACAATTTCTGTGTATGCCAGATAGCTTGAGCGATTCTCTGGCACGGCACTACTCAAACGAACACTTGACAGTCGGCGCACTCGAACAAAAAATGCAAACAAAAAAATATTTTAAATATTTAGCACACAATTTTCGGGGGTGTTTTATTTATGTTTTGGTACACTTTTGTTTTGGGATTCGCTGCTCCCACGGATCGTTGATATATATATATATATGCTGATATATGTGTGTAGTGGATCGCGATCCGTATCTCGATTGTTAACCGCACCGCAAACGAACACTGACTGACTGCACATGCGCGCAGGCGCCCACGAACTGAGCGCTGCGCGTGGAAAATATGCGGCAGGTAACAGCGCGGCGCGGCGCGGCGCGGCGAGAGTAGAGTCCACAGAGTCGCAGTGTCTGGCAGAGTCACACACACAACACACAGGCAGAGAGAGAGAGAGAGAGATAAAGAGAGAGAGAGAGTCGTGACGCTGCCCCACCGTAGTACCACCAGTACCAGTACGTGAGCGCTCGCGGGCGGCATTCGCTCAAAGGCAACATGCAAAATGTTGCAAATATCTGTGACAACGACTCTGGGGCAGCATCGCCGCACGAAGATGCTCCACGCGCGGGAAAGACACAGATATACAGATACCAATAGAGACAGGGAGAGACAGAGAGAGAGAGAGATTCAGCTGGGGCATGGAACCAGGCAACGGGCAACGGGTGCCAGGCCAAAGGGCATGCTTCAATATTTGTACACCATTTGGGGCACAGCTGGCACTCTGGCACTCTGGCACCCCAGAGTCCTACATTTGGGATCATAGAGGATCTTTCTTTTGGCGCCACATTCACATTTCTATTCCACGACACTGGCAATGAAATTAGTTATTTTTTTATGTCTCTGTTCACCAGCGGACACTCAAACAAATTCTCAACATTCAATTGGAATTTTCTAACTATGAGAACAAAAATATGGTTTGTGGCAAGTCTCCATCAGAGCAACAAATAGAAACAAGTAGGTCCATCCATAATGGAAGAAAGTAAAGAAAATTAGCATAAGTAGGTGTGAGGAAAAAACCAAAAACAAATTACGGCAATAACATGAAGGGTCTAACCCAAACTGATGGTAGTTATAAAATCTGAAATTGTACTCCCAGCTAGTGCTAGAATAGCGTTTGAATTATTTGAAAGGATAATAAATAAAAATAAAGACTTCTTTGTGGCACTCTTCCCAAAAATAAATATCATTTGCTATATCTAAGCCATGACAGCTTTAAACAATAATTAAATAGGCTTGCAGATTCCTGGGTTCAGCTTGGCATCAGCTATGATCTTTTGGTATGCTCTGTCTGGCCATGCCACTACTTAATTATAGTAAGTATTAGCTCATCCTGAGATGCCATTCCATTGGTGGATTTCCTCAATTATCGAATGCATTGCAACAGAGGCAGAGACAGAGCCAGAGACAGAGACAGAGCCAGATCAATAGATTGTTCAAATACTCGTACGAGTATGTAGAGAGGGATGCCACAATTCGCGGAATATCTTTTACATTTGCCTTCAGAGTTGACAATAATTTTTCTTAATTTCCAACTCATGATTGCCGTGCTTAGAGTTACTCAACATTTTACTAGGAAGCTGCCAGCTGCCACACATAATCTTAATGGGGCACCGGCCCGCCGCATTTCGTTTCGTTTCGTGTCATTTTGGAGAGGAGTCTTCACATTTGGCGATGACAGCTCTCGCATAATTGTACAACATTTAAATGTTGATCTTGGCCAGAGTCAGAGCTCTGAAACAACGAGATAAAAGATATCATAAAACACAGACAGAGCGAGCGAGAGAGAGAGAGAGAGAGAGACAGCAACGTGTAAATGTGCGAATGACATAACGCAACTGTGAGATACAATTGTATCTGCTGGCCATTTATCTCTACCGCTGGGGTGTCGCCAAATGTTTTTCGCATCTATTTGATTTTTGGGCAACTAAAAGAAAGTGATCCAACAGTGGGCATCCACTGTTTGAAATGCAGAATGGGATGCGGAGGCCATCACACCACATCTCAATCTCAAACTGCTCAATCTGCTGCTTTTGCTGCTTTGCCTATGACCGTTTAGGGCCAAATGGCAGGCACTATGTGCACCAGCACGTACCCCAGAGTTTAGACGAGTTTATCCAGGGGGAGGGGATGGGGATGGGGATACGTGCCTGGACTGCGTCCAATATCGTTCGCAAGCCCTCGAACTGCAAACATTTTGCTCGGAGTTTTTGTTTTGTTTTTGGGCTGCTTTAATTGTCGCCGCAGCAACTGCCGAGTGCCGTTGAAAAACGCTTTAACGAGCTACGCGCATGCGCAATTGTCCAACCAACCGGCATCCATCGTCCGTCCCCCGATGCCCAACTCCCCTCTCGACTTCTCTGTGGCGCGGCGGCGCTTTATGCAATGCCCAACCAGCAGACCGAACGCTCTTTCTCTGGCGTGGCGTAGTTGTCCGTGTAGCCCTCAACCATTTCCTCTCTGGTGAGGTTGGCTCTCGCTGTCCTAGATGACATCGTGATACAACCATATGAGTGGATCCCGACTGATTTCCTCCTCCGTGAGGGGAGCCAGCTGCAGGAATGGTATTGTGGAGTTATTGTAGCGACAGACCAACTTTGGAGGAGGCCCCTGCAACCCCGTTCAATGTCAGTCGCTGCGCGCTTTGGCTTTAGATATACCAAAGGAATTGCCAGATCCTGCTAGATACTCTTTTATTTGGTCAATGGAGCCTGCAAGAGTGGAATCAGTTTAATAAAGCAGCATGCAAATGTTTGGATTCACCGAACCATCATGCAGTCTGCTGATGAGAAACCTTTTTCGAACTTCCTCTTGATTGGGGCGGATTGAGTGGTAGCTGAAGGTTATTCCATGTCAGTCTGTGTGTCTCTAGTGTATTCCAATCGGTTCTACATAAAGTCCGCTAGGATAAGGCATTCTGGTGCGAGCATGCGGGTACTGAAGATTCATTGGATTGGCTGTATTCAAATGGGAAATAGTGGGACAAGTTCTTACTCAAGATGGCGTGCCATATCAGCCCATTGGCCATATCAAATGCCCTCAAGTCATAGAAACGCTATATACGCTCCATACCCATCAAAGCTTCATTCATGTCCACGGCGTTTGGCATTTGTGTCACAAAGGGATATCTTCATGATCTTTGATGTAGGATAACTATTTGGCCCAGTATTCATGAGCACGTCGCATCAGTCGCAGCGAATTTAGAGGATTTGCCACGTATTGAACGCGGCTCACTTTACTAACCAGATTCTCATGGATCACAGACGGCAGGTATCTGAGGAAGTCGGTTCAATTAATTTCTTACCTTTCTCTTGTTTCTCTTTGCATTTCGTTACTCTCTTTCTTCGCTATAATTTTTCTCATTTTCTGGCTCCACTTTCCACCGCTCAAATGGCAGAAAACGGTTAAATTCAAATCTGGGATACCAGGCGCACAGAAATCAGCAGAAGGTCGCTGCTTTTTTTTAATTCTCTTTTTTTCTTGTTTCTCTTTGTCTTTCATTGCTCTCTTTTTTCGTTCTAATTTTTCTCATTTTCGGCCTCCACTTTCCACCGCTCAAATGGCAGAAAACGGTTAAATTCAAATCTGGGATACCAGGCGCACAGAAATCAGCAGAAGGTCGCTGCTTTTTTAAATTCTTTTTTTTCTTGTTTCTCTTTGTCTTTCGTTGCTCTCTTTTTTCGTTCTAATTTTTCTCATTTTCTGCCTCCACTTTCCACCGCTCAAATGGCAGAAAACGGTTAAATTCAAATCTGGGATACCAGGCGCACAGAAATCAGCAGAAGGTCGCTGCTTTTTTTAATTCTCTTTTTTTCTTGTTTCTCTTTGTCTTTCTTTGCTCTCTTCATTCGCTCTAATTTTTCTCATTTTCGGCCTCCACTTTCCACCGCTCAAATGGCAGAAAACGGTTAAATTCAAATCTGAGATACCAGGCGCACAGAAATCAGCAGAAGGTCGCTGCTTTTTTTAATTCTCTTTTTTTCTTGTTTCTCTTTGTCTTTCATTGCTCTCTTTTTTCGCTCTAATTTTTCTCATTTTCTGCCTCCACTTTCCACCGCTCAAATGGCAGAAAACGGTTAAATTCAAATCTGAGATACCAGGCGCACAGAAATCAGCAGAAGGTCGCTGCTTTTTTTAAATTCTCTTTTTTTCTTGTTTCTCTTTGTCTTTCTTTGCTCTCTTCTTTCGCTCCACTTTTTCTTATTTTCTGCCTCCACTTTCCACCGCTCAAATGGCAGAAAACGGTTAAATTCAAATCTGGGATACCAGGCGCACAGAAATCAGCAGAAGGTCGCTGCTTTTTCTAAATTCTCTTTTTTTCTTGTTTCTCTTTGTCTTTCATTGCTCTCTTTTTTCGTTCTAATTTTTCTCATTTTCTGCCTCCACTTTCCACCGCTCAAATGGCAGAAAACGGTTAAATTCAAATCTGAGATACCAGGCGCACAGAAATCAGCAGAAGGTCGCTGCTTTTTTTAATTCTCTTTTTTTCTTGTTTCTCTTTGTCTTTCATTGCTCTCTTTTTTCGTTCTAATTTTTCTCATTTTCTGCCTCCACTTTCCACCGCTCAAATGGCAGAAAACGGTTAAATTCAAATCTGAGATACCAGGCGCACAGAAATCAGCAGAAGGTCGCTGCTTTTTTTAATTCTCTTTTTTTCTTGTTTCTCTTTGTCTTTCTTTGCTCTTTTCATTCGCTCTAATTTTTCTCATTTTCTGCCTCCACTTTCCACCGCTCAAATGGCAGAAAACGGTTAAATTCAAATCTGAGATACCAGGCGCACAGAAATCAGCAGAAGGTCGCTGCTTTTTTTAAATTCTTTTTTTCTTGTTTCTCTTTGTCTTTCGTTTCTCTCTTCTT